AGGTAGTATTTCCATAAGTACTATGGAAATAAAACTCAGTAATGTGGAAATCCTGAAAGGATTATTGGGAGGACTAAATCGTGAGTCCCTGAACAGCACTTGGCACGGAGCCTGGCACGTGGTTGCAACTCAAATTATTGTAGCTATTTTTATTGTTATGTTGTCAATGTTGTTGTATTCCTTGTCTACTAAGAACCTTGATGCCAGTCTGGGCAACATGGTGAAACCCCATCTCTACAAAATACAAAAATTAGCTGGGTGTGGTGTTGTGCACCTGTGGTTCCAGCTACTCAGGAGGCTTGATGTGGGAGGATTACTTGAGCTTGGGAGGTTGAGGCTGCAGTGAGCCAAGATTGTGCCACTGCACTCCAGCTTGGGTGACAGAGCGACACCCTGTCTCAAAAAAGAACCTTGATGACTTCTCGTTGCCCAGTCTACCAAGTCTCTCTTTTTCTGCCTAACTTTCAAGTTCTTTTAGAATCTTGCCCCACTTATTACTGCTCAGAGAATGCCCCAGGATCTAGTCGGTGTCTCTTCACCCCTGAACTTGCTGTGGTCCTTTTAGCTACCCAGCCTTTGTGCATCTTGTTCCCCGGCCACAACCTTCTTCCTCCATGTTGTGCGGTCACCACTTTCATTCATTGGAAAACTCCAATGTGCAGAGAAAATGCAGTTTGTTCATTTTGTCTACAGTGAGCCTTCCTCCCCAACACAGCCATTGATCGTCAAGAGAAAGAATAACTTTTGATCACACCCATTAAAAAACTTAGTTGGATCTGCTAATCCAAACAGTTCCTTAAGATAATTCTAGTCTTCCTAGGAAAACAATGCTTATTCCCCCAGGTTGTCTCGCCTACCCCACCCCCAGTTATTGGCCTGACAGTGTGTGTGGGAAGGAATGTCAACCTTGCCCTTGCGTTTATTTCTTATGAAGGAGGAACAAACTCAGGGTCCCTAGGCTCGGTGGCCTCTGGTCTTGGAGGCAAGGTTTCTTGCCTTCTGGGAGCTGCTTGTTTAGCTATATTAGAAGTTGAAGTCTGTGGTTTTATAACACATAGTCTAGTCTAGTGCTTTTCAAAGACCTACAGTAAGATGTAGATATATTGTGTACACCACATATATGTATGTATACTGTGGATAGATGAAACTACAGTTTTTATAATATAGCATATATAGGCTGGGCGCCGTGGCCCAGGTGGCCCATGCCTGTAATCCCAGCACTTTGGGAGGCCGAGGTGGGGGGATCACGAGGTCAGGAGATCGAGACCATCCTGGCTAACATGGTGAAACTCCGTCTCTACTAAAAAAATACAAAAAATTTGTCGGGCGTGGTGGCGGATGCCTGTAGTCCCAGCTACTCGGGAGGCTGAGGCAGGAGAATGGCGTGAACCTGGGAGGCGGAGCTTGCAGTGAGCCGAGATAGCGCCACTGCACTCCAGCCTGGACAACAGAGCAGACTCCCTCTCAAAAAAAAAAAAAAAAAAAAAAGGAGATTGAGCCCATCCTGGCCAACATGGTGAAAGCCCATCTCTACTAAAGATACAAAAATTAGCTGGATGTGGTGGTGTGTGCCTGTAGTCCCAGCTACTCGGGTGGCCCAGGCAGGAGAATCGCTTGAACTTGGAAGGCGGATGTTGCAGTGAGACGAGATTGCACCACTGCACTCCAGCGTGGTGACAGTGATACTCTGTCTAAAAAAAAAAAAAAAGATAGCATGTATAGTTGAAGCATAAATTTTACAAGATTTAGTCATTCTTGCTACACTTAATCCAGCTTGACCTACTCCATTCTATTTTAGGGAAAGAAAGATTGGTTTGGTTCCAATAAGTGATCCACGGTTTGCTAAATATGTTAGCCTGGTCATCCTCTTGGCTTTATCAGAACTTATGTGGCACTCCCTGCTGACTAGGTCCCACCTCTGTGCCCATGGGCAGCAAACTTCAGTCTTTTTTTTTTTTTTTCAAGACAGGATCTCGCTCTGTCATCCAGGCTGGAGTGCAGTGGGGCGATCTTGGCTGATTGCAACCGCCAGCTCCTGGGTCCAAGCGATTCTCCCGCTTCAGCCTCCTGAGTAGCTGGGATTACAGACATGCACCACCACACCCAGCTCATTTTTTGTGTTTTAGTGAAACCCAACAGGGTTTCACCATGTTGGCCAGGCTGGTCTTGAACTCCTGACCTCAAGTGATCCGCCCGCCTGGGCCTCCCAAAGTGCTAGAATTGCAGGCATGAGCCACCGGGCCTCACCTAAACTTGAGTCTTAGCCACTCCCTCTATCCAGCCACTGACTTGGTGGTATTTGAATGGGGTCCCCTCTGCTGGCCACAACAGATCTTGAGACAAGCTCACTGTTCTCCAGCATCTTAATGCCTTCTGTTTGCAAAGGTGGCTGTACGAGTTAACACCCTCACCAACATTAAGTGTCTCTGTTGTTTCATGTTCTCACTGATATTTAATATTGTCAGACTTGGCTGGGCGCGGTGGCTCACGCCTATAATCCCAGCACTTTGGGAGGCCGAGGCAGGCGGATCATGCAGTCAGGAGATCGAGACCATCCTGGCTAACACGGTGGAACCCTGTCTCTACTAAAAATACAAAAAATTACCCGGGCGTGGTGGCAGGCACCTGTAGTCCCAGCTACTCGGGAGGCTGAGGCAGGAGAATAGTGTGAACCTGGGAGGCGGAGCTTGCAGTGAGCTGAAATCACGCCACTGCACTCCAGCCTGGGGGACAGAGCGAGACTCCGTCTCAAAAAAAAAAAAAAGAACAAAAAAACCTCAAAAATATTGTCAGACTTTAACATTTTTGCCAATTTATTAGGTGTGAAATAATCTCATTGTCATTTTAATTTTAATTTTCTTGGTTATTAATAAGCTTAAACATCTTATGTTTATTGGTCGTACATGTTTGTCCACTTACGAAGTACCTGTTTGGCTGCTATATTTCAGTCTTCAGTCAACCCAGAATTGTTTTTTGTGTATAGTGTGAGGTAGCTATACAGTTTTATTTTTTTATTTTATTTTATTTTTTTGAGACTGAGTCTCACTCTTGTCGCCCAGGCTGGAGTGCAGTGGTACAATCTCGGCGCACTGCAACCTCCGCCTCCCAGGTTCAAGCTTCCCCTGCCTCAGTCTCCTGAGCAGTTGGGATTACAGGCATGCACCACTCCACCCAGCTAATTTTTGTACTTTTAGTAGAGTTGGGGTTTTGCCATGTTGGCCAGGCTGGTCTCGAACTCCTGACCTCAGCTGCTCCACCCTCCTCGGCCCCCCCAAGTGCTGGGATTACAGGTGTGAGCCACTGTGCCTGACTACAGTTTTATTTTTATACTACACACACACACTCCAAATTTTGCACATATATTAGATACATATGTTCAGGTGTGAGAAGTCCTATAATTCTCTTATCAATTTTTTTTTTTTACTGGCTTCAATGCTCAATCTTGATCTTATCAAATTTTGGTATCAATGTTTTTCTATTCTTTTAAAATAAGTCAAAGAGTTTTTCTATTGTCTGGCATAGTCTGTATAAGACTAGAATTATGTATACCTCAAAATAGTAGTTACCTTCTGATAGTAGTCATCTGTTTATCTGGAAGTGGTATTTTCTTTTAGGAAGATTGCAACTACTAATTCAATTTATTTTATAGTAAGACTAATCTGGTGTTCTATTGCTTTTTGAATCCATTTTATCAATTTATGCATTTCTAGGAATTTGTTGATTTCATCTCAGTTTTAACATTAGGAGGCATAGTGATTGTTTATAATAGCCTCTAATTCTTATTTTTAATCTCTATGCCATCACAGTTTTTCATTTGTGATATCATTTATATGCTTGCTTACTGTTTTTTTAATCTCATAGATTACATATTATCATTTAAAACTATATGGGGCACTACCACACCTGGCTGTTTTTTTTACTTTTTAGTAGAGATGGGGTCTTGCTATATTGCCCAGGCTGGTCTCGAATTCCTGGGCTCAAGGGATCCTCCTGCATTAGTCTCTCAAAGTGCTGTTATTACAAGTGTGAGCTACTGCGTTCAGCCTCTTTTAAATTTCTGTTTGTATCTTTATTCTTCTTACACTTTTGTGTCTAATAGAGTAAAAAACTTCTATTTTTCTGACAGCTTAATTACTTTTGAAGTTTTCGTTTCTAATATGTTAATAAAAACATAATATATTTTTTCTAATATAAATAACTTCGTGTCCTAATATTTAAGCTGCATTTTTTATATATGACATGTACAATGTAGCTGGATATTGTTTTGTGAAGTCTAAAAATAATTGTCTTTTAACTGAAATACATAATGCATTTATATTTATTGTAATTACATGTACATTCTAATTTATTCCTTCATTTTATTTCCATTTTTCGTGCCTCTTTTGTATTTCTTTTTTTATAATTCACTTAGTGGTCCTCTAGATATTTTATTTCTAGATCCTTTTCTAGTAGTTCTTTAGAAATTTTAGCATGCATACTTATCAAAGCCTAAAGCCAATTAGTATCTTTCCTCTCCTCTCAAACAATGCAAGGACCTTAGACCACTTAACTCCAGTCACTGCTCCACCAATTTAGGTTTCCATTTTGCCCAGTGTTTTAGTTTTATCTTTTTTTTTAATCTCACAGATTACATATTATTTTAAACCAGAAATGTTTGTTCAGATTTACCCATACATTCTTGCCTTATAATTCCTTCCCCCAACCCACCCCTTCATCACTTCTCTTAGGTTTCATTTAGTGAGGATAAATTGGTGGACAACTCTTTCAGCTATTGTTCACTGGAAAAATGTCCATTTCCCCCTTGTTCTTCAAATAGAATCTTGCTAGGTATAAAACATATTTTTGCCAGGTATAAAATTACGGTTATTTTCTCTCAGCGTATTAAAGACGCTCAATTGTTTCCTGACTTCCACTGCTGATAAATCAATGCTAAGTCTTATTGCCATTTGTGTTGAAGGTATCGTTTCTTCAAGAGTACTTAACGACTGTTTTTTAAGATATTTTCTTTGTTTTTGGTGTTTGGCAATTTTATCATAAAGTGTTCAGATGCCAATTTATTTTTATGTGTTTATTTTGCTTGGGGGTTTTGCGGCTTTATCATTTTGTGGATTGGTTTTCTCATCAGAACTGGAAGAGTCTTAGACTGCAGTTCTTGCTCTGTACTCTTTCTCATCTAATTCCAGATTTGAGATTAAGCATATGTTAGACCTCTGTTCTGTCTTTTCTATGTTTTAGCTTCTCTGTCATCTTTTCTATCTCTATATTTCTATGTGCTGCAGTCTAGATAATTTATTCAGTTTTTTTTTTCCCTCTGGTTTCCTGTGTCTAATCTATCTGATCTAGCTCAATTCTTATATACTTGTTCCCTGTTATTTATTTAAACAGTATTTTATGTTCTGTGTCTGATCATTTTAAAGTTCGAAGTGTTTGTTGGCCTGGTTCTCCTCTCTATTGTTTTCCCTGGTTGTTGTTCATGGTGCTTTGTTTCTCTCTCTCTCTCTGTTTTGTTTTGCTTTGTTTTTGGAAACTTTATTAGTGGGAATTCTTTATCAGTGGGTTGGAGTTGAAAGTGAGTTTCTCTAGAATTTGCATTTGTTTTTTGTCAGGTTCCTGGGATCATTATCAACCTGCAAAGGCAAGGACTTAAAATTCTCAACTTGAGGTTTTGGGGACAAAACAGGTAATCAGTTTGTCCTGTAAACTCTTGTGAGGGCTACCTTGTGGTTACACATTTTTAGTAAAGACTTTTCCATTTCTACATAGCACTTATTTTTGAGACAGGCAGTTTAAAGTCCTCTCTGTAGCTGGATGCCTCTTATTATACATTCTATCTTGGTGGGCCTTTGTAAATGTCACCAAGTTTATCTGCTTTCCCCTGTGTCCTGCTAAGTTGTAAAACAGAAGCTCAGGTTCTCCCAGTTTGTTAAATGCCTTCAAGGTGAAAACTAATATAAGCATTCTGTTCAGAGTGTGCCTTATTTTTTGTGTGTGAACTCATGAATATGTTTCAAACTATTTTTGAGAAAATATTTTGTCCGGCATGTTTGGTTGTTTTCAGTTGGATGATTGGACAGGTACTTACTCTGGCATACTACCAGAAAAGAAACATACATCCTTCCTTCTCTTTGTATTTTTTCTTTAATAATATTAATATATCCTGAAACACATGAATTCCTTTGGCCAACTATGGTACGGATGGTATGTGCAGAAAGCAATAGAGAAAAGAGTGTAATCCTTATTTTCAAATTATCACTTCCTTCTGCAGGTATTCAGGGGTATTTTAAGTTCCAACATATTAGTTGAGGTAATCCCTGCTTCTTTGACAAAACCAAAATGGTGCCATGAATCAAAACAATAGAAGTTGTTTCTTACATGCCCCAAATGGGTGACCTGATTAGTGGATACCTCTCTTTCAGGTTTTAGCGAGCCAACTACTTGGCATTTTAGGACTCTTGTCATTTTCAACGCATGGCTCCAAGGTCACGGTGCTTATTTGGATCATATTAGCTTTAAAGAAAAAGCATGTGGAGGCTCATGAGTGGCTGGTTATATTGGCTAGGCCCAGATGTGACTCAGGTTTTTTTTTTTTCCCTTTCCATTAGCTAGAACTTGGTAATGTGGCCACATCTGACTGCAAGGGGGATTGCTGGGAAGGTGGTCTAGGTGTTTGCCCAGGAAGAAGATGAAACAGGTTTGATGAACAGCCAGTCCATCTCTGCCACGTATTTCCTCTTGGAAACCTCAGTCCACCCTTACTTTTCACTTCTCTGAGCTCTTATTTTACTTACAAAGAGCACTATCAACCTTAGGATTCAATTCCCCAAATCATTTTATGTTTGTATAATCTAAGCCACCAACTGTATAATACATTCCTTGAGGTGTGAATGTTGTGCTGGATTTTTGAAAATGTCACCTGCCGGGCGCGGTGGCTCACACCTGTAATCTCAGCACGTTGTGAGTCTGAGGCGGGTGGATCACGAGGTCAGGAGTTCAAGACCAGCCTGGCCAAGTTGGTGAAACCCCGTCTCTACTAAAAATACAAAAAAATTAGCCGGGTGTGGTGGTGGGCGCCTGTAATCCCAGCTACTCGGGAGGCTGAGGCAGGAGAATTGCTTGAACTCGGAGGATGGAGGTTGCAGTGAGCCGAGATTGCGCCACTGTACTCCAACCTGGGCAACAGAGCGAGACTCCGTCTCAAAAAAAAAGAAAAAATGTCACCTACCACTCAGTTTTGAATGCACAGTGTGCTTTAAAAAAATTAAGCCTCTGAGTGAATGAAAATGTTCCTGTTCTAAGGAGATACCTGCTGACATATTTAGGGATGCAGACCATATTTATGGTCTGCCTCTTACTGATTGTATTATTCCTTCAGGTTTTCTTTCTGTTTCTTTCGTGGATTTTTTTTTTTTTTTTGACACAAGATCTTGCTCTGTCACCCAGGCTGGAGTGCAGTGATCTCGGCTCACCGCAACCTCCACCTCTCAAGCTTAACTGATTCTCCCACCTCAGCCTCCCAAATAGCTGAGACCACAGGTGTGCACCACCATGCCCAGCTATTTTTGTATTTTTTGTGGAGATGGGCTTTCTCCATGTGGCCTAGGCTTAGGTTTTCTTTAGGTTTGAAAGTTGCCAAAATAAAAATTTGGAGAAAAAGCTAAATCCCTGAAGGGGATTAGAAGGGACCCCACAAAAAATAGTGGAATTTCCATGGGGCATCGGATTAGTCTGTCTCAGTTATTTCTTCTGAGATGTTATCTTGAAATGAGCCCTTTCTGCTCCATCTGGATTGTTGTGAGAATTCATTCACTCCACCTGGAAATATCTGTTGAGGTCTACACGGTGCTAGGACTATTTTTTTTTTTTTTTTTTGAGACCGAGTCTGGCTCTGTGGCCCAGGCTGGAGTGCAGTGACGCGATCTCAGCTCACTGCAAGCTCCAGCTCCCGGGTTCACACCATTCTCCTGCCTCAGCCTCCCGAGTAGCTGGGACTACAGGCGCCTGCCACCACGCCCGGCTAATTTTTTGTATTTTTAGTAGAGATGGGGTTTCACCTTGTTAGCCAGGATGGTCTCGATCTCCTGACCTCATGATCCGCCCGTCTCGGCCTCCCAAAGTGCTGGGATTACAGGCTTGAGCCACCGCGCCCGGCCTGGTGCTAGGACTATTGAGGGGCTGGATGTAGGGAGTGAAGACCCTGCCCCAGAGACGATTAGATGAAGGAGAGTAGAAAAACAATGGAGAACTAGGAAAAGAAAAAAAAAAAAAATCCTTGTACTCATTTTGCCTTTGGTTTTAGGCCTCCCATAAGAAGGCTGACCTGTCTCCAGGCCAGTGTTGAGCACATCAACAAGCAGAGGAGTTTAGCTCTTGAATATTCCCCAGGGCCATAGATAATCTTAGCTGAAACAGACCCTAGGTTAAAACTGACCTCAATATCACCCTGTACCTGAGTTTAACTAATTGCTTTGTTGCTAGGCTCAGTGTTTTCAATGCCTTATTTTTATTTTCTGTTATTATTGGTCTTAATAAATGACAATGGCATATGGACCTAAGTTAAATTGTGGAATCGTATTTTGTTTTCCTTTCACTGAGTACTTTTCTTTCTCACCGCAGTGTACTATGAATGGCAAAACACAGTGACATTTTAGTAACTCTAATCTATTATCCACTTGCTAGGATGCAAACACAATGCATGTGGCAAATTACTTTATATGCTGATAAAGCCTGTGTTTTGGAAAAATGTTGGAATGTTTGTATCCAAAACATTGTTTTGAATCAAGTCATCTAAAATATGCAGATTAAGAATAGGAAGTGGTATCCTGAATAGCATCGTCAAAATTCCAGGAAGGGTCAGGCTGCAAAATACAAGACATGGTGAGTTTATAATTAGGCATCAACGCGATTTTATTTGATTGAGCGTCTCCCTGGGCTTGGCTCTGGCATTAGTCAGAGAACAGCTCTCCAGCCTAAAGGAGTTCACTTAAGATGACCCAGGAGGTAAATCTAGCTCTCTCAGAAGCCAAGACAGAGCAAACCCTTTACTTATTATATTGTTTCCTTCATGGAATAATAAGGGGTAGAATTTCTGCTAAATCAGAGCAAAATACAGCATTTCTAATAAAACAGAAAAGGGAATATGGTGCAGTGCTCTTCTTGCGAATTGTACTCACTTTCTTTTCAAGTCTAAGGTTTCTCTTTTTTTCCAGAAAAATTTCTCTCTTACTTGAAGGAGTTCCCAAAACTACACGAATGCACCAAGTCTCAGCTAAGGGCATTAATAGTATATAGGGTCCAGGAACTGGCAGGCTGTAATAGTTCACTTCCTCTGTTAATGCAGTGAGCCACTGAGTAGTCTCTTCCCACAATGAGTAAGGGTTTACTTCTATCCTTAAAACCAAATAATTCAGTCATCATAAAGGGAAGAGACGAGACCTCCATATACTTGATGTGGCCAATGTGATTTTAAAATTATTTTTGTTTAGGCAAAATAAAAATTTGGAGAAAATTTATGTTTTATTTGCCAAAATGAAAATTTGGAGAAAAAGCTAAATCCCTAAAGGAGATTAGAAGGGACCCTACAAACAGCTGGCATTTCCATGGGGCATCAGATTAATCTGTCTCAATTGTTTCTTCTGAAATGTTGAGTTGAAATGAGCCCTTTCTGATCCCTCTGGATTGTTAAGAGAATTCATTCACTCCATGCATAATTATTGGGATGACCATACAGTCTGACATGTTTGTGATAGTTTTGTTTTATGCTTACTGCCCCCCTGTAATCACTAGTAGTGTCTGCTTTCATTTTCAAGAACATCCTGGTTTGATAAATTATGGTCACCTGACTTACAGCGGTAGTGCATACATTTAGCAATAGTAGATCAGGTTTGTTCTAATTAACTCTTCTGCTGAGAAAAGCTGCTCAACATTAAAAAGAAAAAAAATACCAGTTTGGAAAAATTGGAGAGCCATCAGGGCAATGGGGAATTGCAGAACCAAGATCTGGGTTGGTGGGGTGAGTAAGGAGTGGTGGAAAACTCAAGAGAGATGAACTCTGCTTTCGAGTTTTATCTTTTTGAGAAAAATTTCAGTTCAGAAAGTAGAGGCTAAGAGATTAAGAAACTTAGCATAGCTTTCAACAAGTTCATGGGGTTGAGGGTGTGGTAATTGTATTTAGGTCCTGTGAAGGAGCAGAAGCCCTAGTGAACAACCTAGGCTTTCATTGAGAACCCTAAGTCTAGGTGAATCAGAAAAACGACATAGGTACTGAAGCCAAAACCCAAATAATTTCAGATTAGTGCCCCTAGCCTAGATGCCTGCCTGAAACTAGAGTAAAAATTCTCTTTGGAGGAAGATGCTTTTCCCAGAAACTCATGTTATCACTGTAGTTTTTCATGTACTATATCTGTCAGTCAGTAGAAATAATAGACACAAGAGAAGACCAGATATAAAAAACCAATAAAAAAATAAACAGATTGGATATACCTACAAGAGGTCCAGATAATGGATTAATCAGATATGGTCCCTACCATAACTGTGATTAATATGTTTCAAGAATTAAAAGATAAGATTGAAAACTCTGCCAGAGAACTGAAAATTGTACATAAGACCAAATAGACCTTCTGGAACTGAAATACACAATTACTGCAGTTAAAATCTAAATGAGTGAATTTTTTTGGGTGATGGAAATGCTCTAAGATTGGATTGTGGTGATGGTTATGGTTGCATAAATGAATTAATTACTAAAACCATTGAATATACACTTACAATGGGTGAATTTTATGGTGTGTACATTGTACTTTAAAAGTTAAACTTTAAAAAAACCAAATGAATTGGTTCAATAGAGTAGTTACAATTGAGGAGAGAGTCAGTGAACTAGAAGATAGAGCAGAAGAAAATATCAACAATAAAGCATTTAGAGGCTTTTAGATGGAAAATAAATATCAGATTGTGAAAGACATATTAAATATGGTGGAAAGGCCTAATATATATATAACTGGAGGTTCAGCAGGAGAGGAGAGAGAAAGTGGGACATAAAAAATAATTGGAAAAAAGGGTTGGGTGCAGTGGCTCACACCTGTAATCTCAGCACTTTGGGAGGCTGAAGCGGGTGGATCACGAGGTCAGGAGATCGAGACCATCCTGGCTAACACAGTGAAATCCTGTCTCTACTAAAAATACAAAAAATTAGCTGGCCGTGGTGGCAGGCGCCTGTAGTCCCAGCTACTCAGGAGGCTGAGGCAGGAGAATGGTGTGAACCCAGGAGGCAGAGCTTGCAGTGAGCCGCGATTGCTCCACGGGACCCTGGCCTGGGTGACAGAGCAAGACTCCATCTCAAAAAAAAAAAAAAAAAAAAAAAGGGAAAAAAATAGCTGAGATAGTTCTAAAACTAACAAATCACACAAAGCCACAGAATCCAGAAGTCCTAGGGCACCAAGCAGGATAAGTACAAAGATTCAACATAGTAAAATTTCTGAAAACAAAACCAAAGAGAACAACATAGGGACAGCATGGTAACATTTATAAAACAAAAACAAAGAGAAAAGCTGAAAAGCATCAGGGTTGGGTAGTGGGTACCTCTTATCTTTAAAGGAAAAGTAAGACTGACAACTGACTTTTCAACTGAAACAATAGATGTCAGAAGGAAGTGGAATGGTATCTTCAAATTGCTGAAAGAAAACAACTATTAACTATAAATTCTATCTCTGCCAGATTTTTCAAAAATGAAGCAGGATTAAAGATATTAAAAAATTATCATGAGGCTGAGCATGGTGGCTCATGCCTGTAATCCCAGCATGTTGGGAGGCTGACATGAGAGGATCGCTTGAGCCCAGGAGTTTGAGACCACCCTGGGCAGCATAGTGAGACCTTGTCTCTATTAAAAAATAAAAATAAATGAATGAATAATTTAAAAAATCATGAACAGATCTATACTAAGGGAAATATTCACTAAAGAGTATCCTTGGGACAGAAGGAAAATTATCCCAGATCAAAGCTCAGAAATGTAAGGAGGAATGAAGAGCAATAGAAATAAGAATTAGATGGTTAAATATAAATAAATATTGACTGCATAAAATAATAATTATTATGTTTTGTGGAGTTTAAAATATGTAGGGAATAACATACATGGTAAAAGAACATAAATCCAAAGAAGTTAATGAAGTTAAATTGTTCTAAGTTCCTTGTAGTGTACAGGAAGTGATAACCAAGTTGTGTTGTCATTTATAAGTTAAGGATGCATGTTTTAAACTCTAGATAATCTTTAAAAGAATGATGACAGAATATATAAATAGCAAGCTAAGAAAGAGGGAAAATAGAATAATAAAGAATACTGAAGAAATTCAGGCCAGGTGCATTGGCTCACGCCTGTAATCCCAGCACTTTGGGAGGCTGACACAGGCAGATCATGAGGTCAAGAGATTGAGACCATCCTGGCAAACATGGTGAAACCCCATCTCTACTAAAAATACAAAAATTAGCTAGGTGTGGTGGCGTGCACCTGCAGTCCCAGCTACTGGGGAGGTTGAGACAGGAGAATCACTTGAACCTGGGAAGTGGCGGTTGCAGTGAGCTGAGATCCACCACTGCACTCCAGCTTGGTGACAGAGCAAGACTCCATTTAAAAAAAAAAAGAAAAAAGAAATTCAAACAAAAATGAAAAATAGGAGAAAAAGGATCCTAGAATAGGTGAGACAAATAAAAAAAAATAGTAGAATAATAGATTTATATCAAATATCAGCCATTATATTAAATATAAATAGACTAAATAGTCAAATTAAAAGTCAAAAGATTATCAGATTGGATTTTTAAAACTATGCTTTAAAGAGACGTACCTTTCTTATAAACACACAGAAGGGCTTGATATAAAAGAATGTAGCAAGATATGCCATGCAAAAGAAAGACCGTATAGCTAACCCAAAGAAAGATTGTATAACTGTAAGTCAAGGAACACTGTTAGAGATAAAGGAGATATTTCATAATAAGAAAGATTCAATTCACTTACACTGTGCTCACTTGCTCTCTCTCATACACACACAAAATTATAAGACCTGCAAGAAGAAATACAGACATCTATATAGTTAGAAATTTTAAAACACCTTTTAATAACTGATACAATCTAGAGACAATTAAAATAAATAAGGATATAGAAAATTTGAACAAAGTTAATTAACAAACATCATCTAATTATAAAACATTGCATCCAACAAATATAGAATAGATACTCCTTTCAAGTACACATAGAATATTTGCCAGTGCTGTCTATTTGGTGAGTCATAAAGCAACTCTTAACATATTCCAAAGAATGGATATTATAGAGTATATTTTCCAACTACAGTGACATTAAGCTAGAAATCAATTACAAAAAATATAAATGAAAAATCCCCATACGTTTAGAAGTTAAGCAGTCACAAGTCAAAGAATAAATGGGAATGAAAAGTAGGAAATATTTGGAAATTAATAACAGTGAAAATATGACATACCAAAAATTGTGGAATGCATCTAAAGCAATGCTTAGAGGGACATTTAAAGCCTATTTACACTTGCATATATTAGAAAAGAAGAGAGGTTTAAAAATAACCTAAGCATTAATTTCCAGAAGTTAGAAAAGAACAACTAAAGATTTTTACAATATTGAAGGAAGGAGATAATAAAAATAAGAGAAAAGGTAATGAAATTTTAAAAAAACTTACCATAGGGAGAATCAACAGAGCCAAAGGACTAATAAAATCAATAAATCCTGGTGAGACTAATCAAGAAAAAATAGCACAAACAACCATTATTAGGAATGAAAACAGGGTATAACTATATTTAAAAGATAGAGAATATTATGAAAAACTTTATGACAATATATTTGACATTTTAGAGGAAATGGACAAAATTTTTAAAAAGCCACATACTGAAACTGCTGTAGGAAAAATAACAGGCTGAGTTGCTCTGTGTCTCCTCATGAATATGTAATTACAAACTTTCCCATAAGGAAAACTTCAGATCCAGATAGTTTTACTGTTGAGTTCATCAAATATTTAAGGAAGAAATAACACATATTTTCCACAAACTCTCCACCAGAGAATTGAAAAAGAAGGAATACTCCCTGCTTGTTTCAAGAGGCCACTAGAATTTTGGTACTAAAACCTGACTGAAATGTTATAAAAAAGGAACATTCCAGACCAGTTTCACTCATGAATATAAATTTTAAAATCCTAAACAAGGCCGGGCACGGTGTCTCACGCCTGGAATCCCAGCACTTTGGGAGGCTGAGGCAGGAGGATCACTTGAGGTCAGGAGTTCGAGACCAGCCTGGCCAATACGGCGAAACCCCGTCTCTACTAAAACTACAAATATGAGCTGGGCCATAGTGGCACGTGCAATAAATAAATAAAATAAAATTCTAAACAAAATATTAGTAGTGTGAGTCCAGCGATAAATTACTTCATCATGATCAAGTTGTTTATCTTCTAGAAATGCAAGGTTAGGGTAATATATTTGAAATCAGTCAGTGTTACTTAGTGTATTAGCAGCATAAAGGGAAAAAATCATGATCATCTCAATAGATGTAGAAAATATATTTGATGTAATCTAACATTTATTCTCGATTTAAAAAAGACTTCTGCAAACTAATGAAAAGGAAGTTTTCTTACTGTAAGAAGGGTATATACAAGAAATAGCTTACATCGTTAAAAAGTAAGAAACATACTTAATGGATGAAATGTTAAAAGTTTCCCTTTGTGAGTAGGAAAAAAGACAAATCTGCCATCTATCATCACTTCTATTCATTATTGCACAGCAGATCTTAGGTAGTGTGATGAGACAAGAAAGAGAAATGAAGGTATTAGGATTAGAAAGGAATAAATAAAACTATTAATTATTTGGAGACTAAATTACTGAGTATATAGAAAATTTTAAATAAATTTCGGTTAAATTGTTGGAACTAAAATGAATTTAGAAGGTTTGTTGCATATGAGGCAAATATGAAAAAAATAAATTGTATGTCTCTTTATCACTAATAAACAGAACATGAATTTACATTAGAATAAAAAGAATCAAATTACCTAGGAATAAATCTAACAAGACCCCTATATTGAAAACCATAAAACACTATTGAGATAAATTAAAGACCTAAATAAATGGAGGAATATATGTTGTTTCTGAGATGGAAGACTTACTTTTTAAAAGATGTCAATTCATCTCAAAGTGATGTACAGAGTCAGTGTAATCCCAATCAGAATCCTGAGGGTTTTGTGAAAATTGAGAAGCCAATTCTAAAATTTATGTGGAAGCACAAAATGCCAAGAGTAGAAAAGGTACTTTTTTTTTGAGACAGAGTCTCACTTTGTTGCCCAGGCTACATCTTGGCTCACTGCATCCTCTGCCTCCCTGATTCAGGCGATTCTCCTGCCCCAGCCTCCCAAGTAGCTGGGATTACAGGTGTGCGCCAGGACCCAAAAGAACCAATTATAAAGGAAAAGGCAGATAAAATTGGACTATACTAAAATGAACTTCTGTTCATCAAAAGATACAGAGAATGAAAGGCAAATTAAGAAGTATTTTCAACATCTATAATTTACGAAAGGCTTATATGAAGGATATACAAAGAATTCCTATAAATCAATTCAAGAAAAACAAAATAGTCCCATAGAAAAATGGACAAGAGTCTTAAACAGGGACTTCACCAAAGAGGATATTCCAATGTCGAATAAACATGTGAAAAGTTGTTTAACTTCGTAAGTCTTCAGGGAAATAGAATTAGAAACCGCATGAAATGTGACTACATGTCCACCACAATGCCTACAATTGAAAATGACTTACAATACCAAGAGTTGGTGAGGATTTGGAGAAATGAGAATTCTCATACACTGGTGGTGAGAGTGTAAATTGGTACAACCACTTTGGAAAACTAATCAGCATTACCTAATAAAAGCTGAACATATGCATATTCTGTAAGTCAGTAATTCTATACTGATATACAGGCACAATGGAAAAGTGATTACATGTGTACCCAAAATTATGGATAGAAATGTTCATAGCAGCATTATTCATAAAAGCTCAAACCACTCA